ACACGTTACTAGCGGCATTGTCTCCCAGCAGCACATTCCCGCACCACGACAGGAAGAAAACTGCGCCAGGAGGATCTCGCTACCGAGTCCCGCTACCAGTTCTCCCACGAGAGGCGTGACCCTACCGACGCTGGGGTGCTCCGCCAACTAATCATAGGTATTCACACTTTCTGACGTTCCGCGCCACGACCTACACTTCCCCCTTGCGTGTCCGCCAGAGGAACTAGTGTTTATCACGTCATCGAACACCGACATCGGGCGTGTATCGACTCTTTCTCTTCGCCCGTTTTCTCTAATGGGCGAGAGCTGATGGTGATCCGAGTTATGTAACTTATTAATCATACAAGAAATTGAGTCCAAACTGAATTTTCGCTTTGTTCCTAATCTACAATACCACTGCTATGGATTTAAACTCTTGCGAAATGACATGGGCTTAGTTGCCATTCACGGGGATGAAACTGTCCCCCACTCTTTCAACCGAGACATAAATGCTTAGACATGTCTAAGAATTCAAACAAGTCTGGAAAGTAGGAAGGCGAGAGAGTAAGAAATACGAAAAAGTCAACAAATAACTTTATTCATTTTATCCATATTTCAAGAGACGAGTAAAATTGACTTTAAAATGTCCCCCACCCCCCCTCTCCCCCCAAAAAAAATGAGAACACATGAGTTTCTGCTTTAGCAGCTTATGTGTGTGAAAGCTTTGTCACTTTCATATAATTACATTGGTACTAATTGTAATTGATATGTTTGTCAGTCTGGTGTGGCCCATTTTGGATAATCTTCGCCAGTGCATTGATTTTCTTCCCATCCCAAATCCTGACCCCTCCCCAGTGCTATATAGTCGTAATGGCTTGGTACTTTCCCCCTCCCTGATAGTTCTCTTCCCCTACCAGGTAGGGATGGTACCACCCGGGCCAGCCATTCCTGGTAACTGATTACCATTAAGTTCCCAGAGATAGCCATCAATGCCTCACAGTGTTTACAATGGTAACCAAGAATTACGTCCAATAATTAAAACACAGTCCGGCAAACATTACCATGGAAGGGGGACAACTGTAGCTGTAGTGGTGCAAAATACCATGAAGGGGTGGGTGGGAGAGTGAGCGAAAGAGAGAGGCACAGAGACAGAGAGAGACAGAGACAGAGAGCGAGCGAGCGCGAGCAAGAGAGAGCAAGCGAGTTAGCAAAAGAGAGAGAGAGAGCAAGAGACCTCTGGTGATAGTGGCAGTCAACCGCAAAATCGAACCGGATCTGTATTTATCAGTGTCAATGTCAGACCAAACGAGCAGAATTGGATAGAGAAATCTGAAAATTACTGAACGCAAGCCCAGTTTTTAACGATAGACAGACATGTAAACGGACGAACGAACGGACTGACAGACAGACAGTGTTAGTCAATCTCTGACAGACACAGGTAGACATATGGGACACAGCCCCAAGACTCTATGAAAGCCGCGACACAGCACAAGTCTTGAAAGAACAGCTAGGAATGACAGAAGACAATCTCCGATGACTTCCAGAGCCTCCGCCATCACGCACAATACCGTCTCCAAGTCCCGCTACTGAAGCTGTACTCCCTCACCCCTCTCTCACTCTACCCCATCTCCCCTGCATACCGTCTCATTCTCGCTCGCTTTCATCCTGGGCAGGGGAGGAGCAAGGGGTTGAGGGACAAGAGGTCGACGGGTGACTAAGAACTACAGGTTGAAGGGAAGGAGAGACAAATTATCAAAGAAGGCACCAAGCCGGGAAGGCTATGTAGCAGAGACAAGGAGTAGGGGACTGTAGTGGAAGGGGAGGAGGTACAAGTCATGCAAAAAAGCGTGAAGCAAGAAGGGATAGTAGGAATGGAGGAAAGTGAAGAGGAGAGACACGGAGAGGGGAAGAAAGTGGAGGTGACGTTCAAGGGGATACTAGTAGGGTATGGTGCAACGTGAGCTATGGTAAGGGGAAAGCTTCATGCCTGCTAACAAAAGGAGAGATGGAGAAAGGGCAGAGAGCAAAAAGAGTGAAGAGACAGCAGAGTAAAGAGAGAGCAAAGATTAGAGCGAGAAAAGGGAGAAAGCAAAGAGAGAAAGCTCCGAGAAAAGGAGGAGAATGAGTAGAGAGAATAGTTAACAGACGGTGCAAGAGAGGAACAGAACAATAATCTCACAAATTACCCAACAGCTTAGCTAGCAGGCCACTAACAAGGCCACTAACAAGGCCACTAACAAGGCCACTAACGTCGAATAAACCATATTCAATTCGCATCTTCAGAAGAAAAACCAAAATATCGACTATCCTCAACAGTTACGACCCAACTGAAGACCACACACACATCCTTATTACCCAACACAACGCTTGGGACCACCTTACGGGCTCACCATAGCCCGTGCTACATGGACACTTCGTGCTGAGTAGCTAAACCTAAAACATTGGGATCACCGGAGAATGGTCTCCTCGCCTCGTGAAGGCGGGGCGCCCCAACGAAGGGTGGAGGCGAGGGCAGGAAAGAGAGGCAACACTGTAGGGGAGACTGAAGTTAACGGTAGTTGACGGTGTAACGGATCAGGCAGAGCAGCGAGCCCAAGCTGGCTGTACTCACTCACTCACTCAAGGACGTGGTCGTTACTTACGAGGAAGTGGTCGTTACTTACGAGGAAGTGGTCGTTACTTACGAGGAAGTGGTCGTTACTTACGAGGAAGTGGTCGTTACTTACGAGGAAGTGGTCGTTACTTACGAGGAAGTGGTCGAAAGTAGAAGTATGTCGTGATGGACCACCAGAAAGCAGATTATCGAATCTGGACCGGAAGAGTGTTTATGTTGCTAATAAAACCCAACCTAATCATCCTAGGCCTAATGCACGCTAATACATGTGCTATAATAGGCCTAACAATACGTTTTGTTTTCAACTTTATTGTTCCGAACCCTATATACAAAACAGTAGAAAAAGTAGCTTCCTGAAGCCTCATTACTATATACTATTATGATAGACCACATGCTTACAGAAAGTTCTGTAATTTCAGGAAGATGGGCTGTATTAGAAGGACTATTAGAAGACAAAACGATAGGATTAATTAACCAACCCGTCCTCCTAATTAAGCGTCGCATTTTGACGTATACTCAACCCAAAGCCAAAAAATCGTCGTACTAGAAAATAGAAGCGGCTCGCGAAATTAACGTACTGTCTCGTTTTCTATTTTTGGGGGGGTCCTATGGGAGGTTAGGATAAGGGGCACTTTAGTACGTCAGTTTCTTGACGTTGGGGAACTTAGGGGGGAACTAACGTTGGAGGCTGAATTAACATGCCCCGAGGGTGTGGATAATTAATAACATTTCTTGAATCATTTAACCTAAGTCTACGCCGACCAGAACAGGTTGGGCTATGTCCGTCCCGTCCGAATTTCAATTTAGAAATAGAATTCGAGGACTTCCTGTTTCCAGAATTTATTCATTCTTTAGATAACTGCCATCGAAACCAGAATGGTTATAATTTTAATTAAAAAAAATTACAACAAAAAACCGAGCAAGAATTTAGGAAAATAAATCAGATCTTTAGTAATCATATGCCAGAAATAAGCAGTAACAACCTCCTTATTGCATGACTCGTTCGACACGTCACATGTAGGAGCACTTTACGTGTCCAGGTACGAAACCGGTACATCTTTCCTCACTCATGATTGCTAAGATTGTGCAGAAGAGTTGACCAGCTCCGAAGTACTAATACGATGTTGACATTGTTCAGTCAACCTCGTAGCGCGTCAGAGGTCGTAAAGTGTTCGTATTAAACACTTACGAGCTCTGAAGTGCTACGAGCTTGACCACAACAACATCGTAGTAGCTGGTCGACTCTTCTGTAGAACCTTAGCAATTATGATTGAGTTAAGATGATTGTAGACATCCATCAGTCTCAGGAGACTGTAGAGTTGCGCTCTGGTTGTCGGTCTGGAGTAGCCTCTCCAGGGCGCAAAGCCAGGGTAGGTTGATACAGAGAAGCTGTTACCCATGCAGCAGGTCCCCTCCCTCTCCAGGGCGCAAAGCCAGGGTAGGTTGATACAGAGAAGCTGTTACCCATGCAGCAGGTCCCCTCCCTCTCCAGGGCGCAAAACCTGGGTACATTGATACGGAGGGGACCCATAAAAGAACCATAAAGACGTACAGGTTTCGCAATTGGACATGCAAATGCTTGGCGAATCCAGGCCCTGACAACGCATCTACACGTGACCAAACTAACCGTACTATGCAGGGACTAATCACATGACTATACTGATTACTTCACGAGTTTATGATCGTCCAAACAACAGGACTCTGCAGAAGTCAGAATAATTGATAATTTTATTTTGAATTCATCTCAAACAAGTATTTGAAAGTTTACTATAAAACCTGAAATTAAATATAGCACAAAGATGATAAACGGCTGTTAACATGTCAGCATATGACATTCCACTTCACATACACCTCAAGGCACATATTAATGTATAACAATGTATAATAATGTACACAAACGAAGTCCAAGTGAATAATACCAAAGAAGGAACTCACTGAGAGAAACAATATAGTGAAGAATTAGCAGTGAAGAGACAGCGACAAACTTACCAGTAACTGAAGTACAAATCAATGCTGTATGAAGATAATGTATCAAAACACTCTATGTACTTAATTCAACAAGTCACTTGAAAACAAGTAAGTTTACCAAACAAGCCAAAAATAATGGCAACAACCAAAATTTGCAAAAAAATAAGGATAAATAAATGCAAGCCAAAAAATGCCAAAATTTTGCAAAATAATTTAAGGCCATCAACAAATAATAATTATAATGTGCATCTAAAGCCCTACAATGTGCCATACTATATCACCAGTGTTTCAAACATGTCACAGTGCTTCAGGCTAGCAAAATAAAGTCATTGGCAACTTCCAACATTTCAATTTACTGCTGTCAACAAATAAAAAAAACAGGGAGGAGGGGAGGGGGGGTCACATATCATGATCCTATAATTATCATAGGCTAACTTACCACTCTCTGCTCTATCCACTCATCATGATTATAGGGGATACAGCCGTCCAGGTCTTCCGTCAGCTGGTTCTTGTCTATGTACTCATGGAGGTCACCTACACAGTTGCACACCACAACCTGCCAGAAAGACATCCTCATATATATTCAAAATATTGCAACTTGGTGAAATATGTATATTGATGTATTTTTCCGTCTGTTGCAACCCAAGACGAAGACAATAGCATAACATAGCCTAGCATAGTCTAGCCTAGCCTAGCATAGTCTAGCCTAGCCTAGCCTAGCATAGCCTAGCCTATCCTATCCCACCATAAGAGTGAACTAACCGCTCTTACTTACTCTGAACTTGAACTCATCCCTGAAGATCTTGTTCGAGACCTCAGAGATGGCTTTTTGGAAGAAACCGGCCGGTCTCAGGACATAGGCAACTGTGATGAGCCCAGGGAAGAAACCCTGCAATAAAAAGCAACGCAGAAAATTGTTAAGAGTTGCAGATAAGACGTACGACCTGCAAGTTTCAAGCTGTTACTTATCCAAGCAAAGAGAAAATGAGCAGGTTGTTGTTGTGATAGATTCAGCTACTCGGAACAAGTTCCAAGTAGCACGGGCTATGGTGAGCCCGTAGTGGACTTACCTTGCACAGGAGCGGGGGCTCTGGACAATGAGCAATAACGCTTTGTGTACAAAAGTTAAATAAAACCCATCTTTAACTGTGAACACTTCTCAAGCACAGCAAAATCATCCTGGGGTTATTTTGTGCAACTTAATACTTTAAAATATCTGGGAATAGTATATAATTGTGGATAAAATCATACACACCATGCAACGAGTAGCCTACACTGATCTTGAGATGATTTCGGGGGATCCTCTTTGACGTAGGTTCGAACCCTCGTCACGGCCCTTGTGGATTTGCTCATTTCATGCATCACGCTATTGTGATTTCTGCGTAATTTCGGGGCTTAGCGTTCTCGCGGCCCGGTCCTCGACCAGGCTTCCTTTTTGTTACACACCCCCAGGAAGCAGCCCGTAGCAGCTGTCTAACAACCAGGTACGTATTTACTGCTAGGTAAACAAAAGCATCAGGGTGAAAGAAACTCTGCCCATGTGTTTCCGCCTCCGCCGGGGATCGAACCCGGAACCTTAGGACTACGAATCCCGAGCGCTGTCCACTCAGCCGTCAGGCTCCCGATGGATGAACAGCGAGCATAATGGCTATTGAAAAATTCATACTCAATTATCCACTGATAAAACAAATCCGACGCAACAAAAAAATTAAAAAAATCATACAAATATTAATATACTGTATATATCCTAACATTAAAAATTGAAGTAATTTCAAAATTTCGCGTTTAAAAAAGAATGACAAATTGACTTTGCATGTTTCAAAATACTTGACCTAAAATGCCGACTAAATTCCATTTTAGACTGCAGCTTGCCCAGCAACTTGACGCAGATTATGCATTATACAGTGAGGCACTTTGCAGCTAATTCAATTAGCATAAAAGAACATATTACTCTACAAACATTATTCCCGCCAGGCTTTCAGTGTTTCCCGCGCGCGGGCGGGCGGGCTGGTTCGTTGGTTCCTTTCTCAGTTTGTTCTTTCGCGCGCACTCGCTTGCTCGTAATTCACTCACTCACACTCAATCCTCGTTTCCTCTTACCTTCTCACTATTCAACACCATCCACCTCTCATACTTACCGAGATCTTGAGCAGGACGGTCTTGACAGAGTTCCACTTATCATTCCGTCTGTCAATGACCAGGACAAATCCCATGTCCGCGTCCTGAAGTCTGCCAGAGGGAGGAGGAACAGGTTAGGCTACCACACACACTAATATCTATCGATCGAGCTCTATCCACCGAGCTATTGAGTGGTTTTAATAAGGAAAGTTTCCAGAAGCAGCCTTCTGCTGCCATAGTGGGATTTTCGACTTTCCCTGACTACTATTGAAGCTCAGAGGAATTACTGACCCACGCCCGTCATGCACATTATAAAGACTACTCAATAGCTCGGTCAATAGAGCTTCGACACCACACACGTGGGGTCCACGGTTCGAGTCTCCTTGAGCCCAGGTAAGTGGAATATAAAAAGAGTTGAGAGTTAAATCCAGCCCTTCAGTCCTGAATACCTGCACTTTTTCATTTCATACTTCTTGCCTAAACTATAGCTGCTGTAAGTTCTATGTCAAGCTTTGGAAAGTTTGCTAAAATGACTATAAATAAAATCATGTCACGGTCAAAGAAAGCAGGAAGAGTTGACACAGTCTTTGACACATCAGAACAGAATCAAGCTGCAGAAAGGTTCAGGTGCATGACAGAGATCCCATTAATGTGACTATCAACCAGCGTGTCAAGACGGGACACATCTCCTGTCACGCAGGGTGCAGTCGCACCTCCACAGATCTCCAGTATCATCTATTGATACTGGTAATGGCTCAAAAGGGCCACCACTTACGGGCTAGAGAGAACTGGATAAGCACCTCCAAAGGATACCTGATCAACCAGGCTGTGACTCGTACGTCAGGCTGCGAGCAGCCGCGTCCAACAGCCTGGTTGATTAGTCCGGCAACCAGGAGGCCTGGTCGACGACCGGGCCGCGGGGACGCTAAGCCCCGGAAGCACCTCAAGGTAACCTCAAGGTAACTATTCATGCCCGTGCCACCTTTTGGGTGGCTTAATCTTCATCAATCAATCAGCATGTCAACCTTGCCCAAACACGCGGGTGGTTTTGTGGGGCATCACTCCTAAATAAAACTACTTTTTTAAGACATTCTTTTCAACGAGATGCGGCAGCAACTCTCTATCCAGCAGTGGGGAGGGGCGCGGGCCACATAATCCCCTTTCCCCACCACCCCCAAACCCCCATCCCTATCCTCCCCCGTCACTAACACCTACCCATACGTCACAATTAAGCTAAGGGGGGCGAGAAGGCGTCACTCTAGACACAGCCCTCGCCGCCAAGGCCCCCCCACACGCCTCTCTCGACGCTCCTTAATTCATCTAAAAGCCCATCTGGCTCTGGCGTTATCGAATTCCAGGTCAGCTGGAGAAGGCGGGAAAGGAGGAAAGTCGGCGACTTGCGGAAAAAGGCGGGAAAAACGAGATAGACTCTAGAACAAGACACTCAAAAGACCAGAGATTGCACCACGTCACAAAGGAGGTAGTAAAGCATATGGAAAAAAAAACATTAAACCTTAACATCTCTTATCGCATGCAGGCGAGGAGTCACAATAACGTGGCTGAAGTATGTTGACCAGACCACACAATAGAAGGTGAAGGGACGACGACGTTTCGGTCCGTCCTGGTCCATTCTCAAGTCAATCGCGACAAATCGACTTGAGAATGATCCAGGACGGACCGAAACGTCGTCGTCCCTTCACCTTCTAGCGTGTGGTCTGGTCAACATCTCACATCGTAAAAAATCTTAGCAAAAAGGAATTCCAGGGTCACCTCAAATATACCACCCCCTTCCCCCTCACAGCAACAGACCGCAGGGTACTTACGAGGGTACAGATGTGAGGTAGATAATGAGCTTGCGATATTCCTCATCCGCCAGCTGGGCGAAGTTGCCTCTGTCAGGAAAGGTGAGGATAGGGCAGCCCTCACGAGACTTGCCGCCTGCAGGGGTTCGGGGAGAGAGAGAGAGACAGGCGTGTTAGACAGGGCTCTTTGGAGAGTCAGGGTCCATGGTGCTTGATTCACGAAGCAGTTACGCAAATACTTACGAACCTGTACATCTTTTCTCAATCTTTGGCGGCTTTGTTTACAATTATTAAACAGTTAATGAGCTCCGAAGCACCAGGAGGCTGTTTATAACAATAACAACAGTTGATTGGCAAGTTTTCATGCTTGTAAACTGTTTAATAAATGTAACCAAAGCCGTCAAAGATTGAGGAAAGATGTACAGGTTCGTAAGTGCTTGGGTAACTGCTTCGCGAATCTGGCCTCATGCTGATTGGTGGACAGAATAAGAAATTATTTTTAGGTTTGCGATTTAATGAAAGAGACAGGAAGTGAGAGACAGAAAAATAAACGGAAGATATTAGAGGTAAAAAACTGGCAATTAAAAGATATAGACAATTAATAACAGATGTCATACAACATTAAGTCATTTTTACGTACAAGTCCGCGCGATGAGTCAATGCCATATTCACAACATTCAAAATACCAATGATTAATGACCGGGGAGGGTCATTAATGACAGGTTGAGCGTCCCAACTATGGCTACAAATGTGTTTACTCACCTACCTACCTATAGGCCTATTATTTATTCAGGTTTGGGGAAGGCCTGGTCGAAGACCGGGCCGTTGGGACGCTAAGCCCTGAAACCATCTCAAGGTAGGTTGGGTACATTCCCGCAGTATGCCCAACCACTTGGGCTGGACGGTAGAGCGAGGGTCTCGCTTCATGGAGGTCGGCGTTCAATCCCCGACTGTCCATTAAGTGGTTGGGCACCATTCCTTGCCCCCCCCCCCGTCCCATCCCAAGCTGTAACACCCAGGACCCCCCCCCCCCTTAGAGTTCACACCCAGGGAAGCCTTCTCCAAGAGGTCAGCCCAGATGACCTCCGGTTTATCTTGTATATTGATTAAAAATTCCTGGGTTAGTCTTAGTCAGCATAGTTTCAAGTATGTAATATTTCATGCAAGGAAATTAGACTCCAGATTCTTATGTGTAAACATCCCTGGATCTCCCCCTTTTGGCCAGGTCAGAGGTCAGTCACACACGTAATTAATAACTCCTCTCTTGAAGAGTGTATGGTGAATGTCAAACAAGCTTTTTGAAATATTTCTTGAGTGTTTGTACACTTTTGGTGGGTAGCAACAGCAGATCTCCCCCTCCCCCCAGTGGGGGGTTGTATATAGAGGGCCTGTAGGAACATAGGAGGGGCAGAGGGCGGTACACCGGGATCGAGAGCGGGGCTGTGAAGAACATCTCAGCCCGGGAGAGACAGATAGCTTGAGGTAATGTGTGTGATCTCTGAGTTTTTGTTACATGTCCAAATTTCTTAACTTTTTGCCAGTGTTAGAGGAGCATTTATAAGTGGTGATTGACATAATTTTGGTCTCAATAAACTCGTTAAATTTCCCGTCTGTGTCAATTGTTGAATCCTCTTAGCCTTTTGGATATAGTGGCTGACAACCGTTTTCATAATTAATGACAGTCATAGAAAGTACTCTCCTAGTCAAGCAATGTTTCTTGCCTCGTTGCTTGATATAGTTTCAATGGTCAAAGGCAGATGGTGGCAGCGTATTTAATCCTTGTGTTAGCATTTCCTTATTGGCAGTGTACCTTTGGTTCCGGTGTAACCATCATATGTCAGCTCATAACAGTGTTATCAAGTGCAACCGATGAGGAAGTGTTACTCAGGATAAGTAGTGTTCCATTATAGTGGTGTTCCATTATAGTGGTACACAATAGAGTGGTGTTACAGTAGAGCGGTATTACAAAATCCTTATTCAAATCCAAATAAGGATTTGGGATGGGACCGGTGGGGCAAGAAAGAAACTCTGCCCATTGTTTCTCGCCGGCGCCCGGGATCGAACCCGGGACCACAGGATCACAAGATCCAGTGTGCTGTCCGCTCGGCCGACCGACTCCCTAACTCATAATCTAAAAATATTGCTTTTATACAGCGTTATTTCACTACTGTCACATAACAATTAACTCCATCGGTTAAATAGCTGATTACACACCAACATCTCCGGGCTGCAACAATTAACTATTCAATGACCCATTAGCTAAAGAGATGTAGCTAATACATTCAAATTCTAATCTAGGCCTTAGGAACCGTTCGCATCACATATAATAAAACACGTCCCTACCTACAACGGCCACCCTCTAGCAACGGGCACTTCCTGTAGGGTGAAGGTCTTCCCCATCTGAAGCAAGTTAGGTCATAACACACCGGAAATGATCCCTTTACCGCATACTAGCAGACGTCTACAAGAAGCAGCCGCACCATCAACTAGTTGAGTTAGTGCTCAATTACCGACCAGTTTTCTGTGGTGAAGGTCCTCGTGTGAGATTAGTTCAAGCCTGAGATGTCTTTTTTCTACGTTTTCCTTCGCCTTACGTATGTTTCTCTTCCATTTATATATATTGTAGTCGCATTATTTCTTTATGTTTGAGCGCACGAGGTCAATTTTATCCTATGTATCCAGGTGCGTGTAGTAGAAACAAAAGTCATTGCTTTAAACCGAGGGCAAAAAAAGGCGGGATCCAAATGCTAATACTCGATCCTGCAGGCACATATAGGCGAGTACACGGGCGACCTAATACCATAAGGAACATAATACTACAGCAAGATATAATTATACGAGGGAGAAACCATTAAGGAACCAAGCCGAGTTAAAATGATTACGAAGCAACGCCAGTTAAAATAATTACGAAATGCCGGGTAGACAAAAATGGTGACCCATTAGGCTGTCGTGGCTCGCTTTGGGAGATGGATTACTCGAGTAAGAACCCCTTCTCCCCGCCCCCCACACCCACTATGGCTTTCATTATCTGACTGTGACTTGCTGATAAGTTGCTGTGAATTACTGTGCGCAGCGTTACTGTGTAGCGTCAGGGTGAGCTACCATTGTTGTCCAGTTGCCTACTGCCCTGGAACCAAATTCACGCAAGCACATACAAACGTGTACATCTTTCCTCAATCTTTGACGGCTTTGGTTACATTTATAAAACAGTTTACAAGCATGAAAACTTCCCATTCAACTGTTGTTATTGTTATAAATAGCCTCCTGGTGCTTCGGAGCTCTTTAACTGTTTAATAATTGGAAATAAAGGTGCCAAAGATTGAGAAAAGATGTACACGTTCGTAAGTGCTTTCGTGAATCTGGCCCCTGGGCTGCGCCACGGAGCCGACCCAGCCTCACCCTTCCAGTATTTCTTGTTTACCGTCAACTCTCTAAAGCAACATTTACCAAAAACGAATTTATTGTCCTTCTCAAACATGTTTATATGAAGGAGTAAAGAAGCTAGATTATGGAATTAAATTGCAGGCGAGGTGTCACAATAACGTGGTTGAAATATGTTGACCAGACCACACACTAGAAGGTGAAGGGACGACGACGACGTTTCGGTCCGTCCTGGACCATTCTCAAGTCGATTGTATTATTTGTTGGTCCAAAAAAATGTCTTTTTTTCCAATTAAAAGTCGCTGCCTCAGAGCCTATTTAATTTCCTGGTCAACCTCGTAATATTCCCAGTACAAACACGCCCGAGGAATCTTGAAGCTAATCCAATTTCCTAAATCAACTTTTGAAACAAAAATTCCATCACCCAAAAATTATTTATATGTATATATGTATGTTTACTATTTGTGTTTGCAGAATCGAGCTATTAGCTCTTGGACCCCACCTTTCTAAACAATCTATTTTTATCTATTATATCTACATATATTTCTAACATGCACACGCGAACGCACGCGCGCACACGTACACACACACACACACACACACACACACACACACACACACACACACACACACACACACACACACACACACACACACACACACATTGTGTGCGAGCGTTGTGTGGTGTGTGTACTCACCTAGTTGTGCTTGCGTAAATGCAAGCACGAATGTGTAGCGTATAATCTCCCGTCCTTAATGGAAAGAAAATAATGTTTCTTGAACAAACAATCGAGCAAATTAACAGAGCAAACAGCGTGCAAGTCAGAGTAAACAAGGAGGAGCAACAGACCTGTGATGATGGCATACTGCGCGTGGAGCAGCTCGCTGACGTCCCGCACACTAAGCGCGCAGCCCCCTTCCTCCAGCACCTCATCTGCGACAAAAACACATTTATCTCAGATTTACCTTAGTATCCCCCCAAATATTACGTTTTCTATTCAGCCATCAGAATGTCACGTTTTCTGTAACTTATTAAGGAGTTACTATTATATATTTAATTTTAAATCTTGTGGAAGATCCGCACTAATCCCCAAGATTCTGATGGAAAGAATGTAATTTCTTACAATATATAATATGTACAATGCTCGTTATAAAACAAACAAACTTGCATTTAAAGCTTTTTATGTCATTATGTCTCAATTATAATTTTGTGATGTTTCATAAAACAATTATATACAATTTATACCCATGAGCATATCAGTCACTAATATGGATATATTATCCATATAATGTAATGTATATATGTATAATGTATATATATAATATAATGTAATATATGGATATATATTACTCTTTGTATAATTGTTATCAGGTTATAATAAAACTAATTACAAGCTGTATGCTATTATAATTTCTCAAAAACATTAATTATTGTTTACCACTATATAAGGCTACTCCTATATCGTACACACACAACTATATCGCTATACGTTCCTCGGAGTTAAACATCTGATTCTCCCACCACTTACGGGCTATTCATGCCCGTGCCACCTTTTGAGTGGCTTAATCTTTATCAATCAATCAATCATCTGATTCTCAAACAAATTGGAAAATTTAAGAAGAGAATTTGCTGAAAAATTGAGTTAAAAAAACTCAAAAATTTAATTTATTTTTACTGAAATTCTTTTTGGCGGGTGAGCCGTCATAACTTAGTCCCTCGAAAATTACATCAGTTAAAAACAAACAAATATGAACATTTTTTTCGTTAAATCATGATTCAAGTTCGTCAAAATATTCAAATTTCATTCATTAAAAAAAAGTAATTAACCGCTCCATTGGATACATTTCTGTATTATCATCAGTTTATATGTTTAAACTGGTGATATATTGACAAATAGATCATTACCAAAGACTTTCTGTATTTATGACCTATGATCAAACTGTCAGTACGTCAAAACAAAATATATATTCAGGAAATTCCACTTTTCAAGAGTCCAATATGAGCTTGGAATGGACGTAGATAATTGACAGGCGATTACCCCCCCCACACACACACACACACACACACACACACACACACACACACACACACACACACACACACACACACACACACACACAACAATCCTTAAAGTGTACAGTAGAGTAGTTTAGCACATAACAATTACCTCATTTCAAGTACTAAGGAGCCCTCCCTGGAAGAATAATTTATTATTATTTAAGCACAATCGTCATGGACCTGCTGCATGGGTAACAGCTTCTCCCCCCCGTATCAACCTACCCTGGCTTAGCACCCAGGAGAGGCCACTCCAGACCGATAACCAGAGCCCAACTCCATAGTCTCATGAGACTATGATGTCTAGAACTTACATTTTAATTACCTAGATTCAACAAGCATTTAGGCAGCTTCACCTAAACCTGTACATCTTCAACCTTTGACGGTTTTGTTTACATATATGTAAACAGTTCATAAACTCTGAAGCACTAGAAGGCTGTTTACAACAATAACATTCGACTATTAAGTTTACATATATGTAAACAGTTCATAAACTCTGAAGCACTAGAAGGCTGTTTACAACAATAACATTCGACTATTAAGTTTACATATATGTAAACAGTTCATAAACTCTGAAGCACTAGAAGGCTGTTTACAACAATAACATTCGACTATTAAGGTTCGAAACTCTTTAAATAGTTTTATGGCAAAGATTGAGAAAAGATGTACAGGTTTCGTAAGTACTTGTGTAAATGTATGTTGAATCCCCGTGGCGCAGTGGTAAGACGCAAACATCCCTTGCGCTTAGCGAACTATATAGTCTGGGTTCGTATCCTGGCCGGGGAGGATTGACTAGGCGCAAATCCTTAACTGCATGCCTCTGTTCACCCAGCAATGAATGGGTACCTGGTGGTTACACGAACGAACGTACGCGCGCGTGTGTGTGTGTGTGTACTCACCTAGTTGTGCTTGAGGGGGTTGAGCTCTGGCTCTTTGGTCCCGCCTCTCAACTGTCAATCAACTGATGTACAGATTCCTGAGCCTACTGGGCTCTATCATATCTACATTTGTGTGTGTGTGTGTGTGTGTGTGTGTGTGTGTGTGTGTGTGTGTGTGTGTGTGTGTGTGTGTGTGTGTGTGTGTGTGTGTGTGTGTGTGTAAATCCACGTTTGCTGTAATCAAAGTTAAAATGCTTCCCATGATATGATCTTATCTGTTTGGCCAATAGTGCCATTCACCGCAACATTCTGCCAACTTTACCAATTAAGTTTTATACCCTGTTTAATAATCTTACAAACTTCCTTGTTAATCCCGATCATCTGGAAGGCATTCTCGGCGAACGTTTCCAGATGACGCTACGATTTTCACGCGAGAGAATACGGAGGACTCCGCAAACTCCAATCTGGTGCGGTAATCAAGTCACGGAAAAATATGTTTAAATGCAGACACAAGTTCCAGTTCCTACGTTATGGAAACCAAGAAACTATCAAGACTGAAACCACATATACAACGCTGTTAAATTACTCAATTGAAATAAAAGGAATTTTAAAATTCCTTTTAAGTAATGAGAAATTATGAGAAAATGCAAAGCCAAGGTGACTATATTACTTGCAAGGGTGCGTGGATAATATTAGCTGGGACACGCGGACTGAGCAAAAAGGACTGGGACCCATCTAAGCGGAGCATCGGGATTGAGCTCAGACCCTGCAAGAAACAAGACTGTCGCTTCAACCCGTCCTCTCACACATACTACACCACATTTTAACATCAAAATCCAGAACGAAGAAACTATGACGTACGATAAAACACAGCTGCTCACAGACATTTACATTTTCTATGCGTGGTAGACATGATAGGTTAGGTTAGGGTCATATTGGATATCACGTTTATTGCGATTTCTGTGTGTAACTTCGTAATGCTTAGGAGCAACTATTCAGTGTTAGAGAAAGGATGTAAAGGTTTCAACATCAGAGGCCCGAGACTGTTCAACACGCTTCCACTACACATAAGGGACATAACTGGCCGACCCCTCACAGTGTTCAAGAGAGAACTATCAACATCAGAGGCCCGAGACTGTTCAACACGCTTCCACTACACATAAGGGGCATAACTGGCCGACCCCTCACAGTGTTCAAGAGAGAACTCCGACCCCTCACAGTGTTCAAGAGAGAACTATCAACATCAGAGGCCCGAGACTGTTCAACACGCTTCCACTACACATAAGGGGCATAACTGGCCGACCCCTCACAGTGTTCAAGAGAGAACTATCAACATCAGAGGCCCGAGACTGTTCAACACGCTTCCACTACACATAAGGGACATAACTGGCCGACCCCTCACAGTGTTCAAGAGAGAACTATCAACATCAGAGGCCCGAGACTGTTCAACACGCTTCCACTACACATAAGGGACATAACTGGCCGACCCCTCACAGTGTTCAAGAGAGAACTATCAACATCAGAGGCCCGAGACTGTTCAACACGCTTCCGCTACACATAAGGGGCATAACTGGCCGACCCCTCACAGTGTTCAAGAGAGAACTATCAACATCAGAGGCCCGAGACTGTTCAACACGCTTCCACTACACATAAGGGACATAACTGGCCGACCCCTCACAGTGTTCAAGAGAGAACTATCAACATCAGAGGCCCGAGACTGTTCAACACGCTTCCACTACACATAAGGGACATAACTGGCCGACCCCTCACAGTGTTCAAGAGAGAACTATCAACATCAGAGGCCCGAGACTGTTCAACACGCTTCCACTACACATAAGGGACATAACTGGCCGACCCCTCACAGTGTTCAAGAGAGAACTATCAACATCAGAGGCCCGAGACTGTTCAACACGCTTCCACTACACATAAGGGGCATAACTGGCCCCCCCCCCTCACAGTGTTCAAGAGAGAACTGGATAAGCACCTCCAAAGGATACCTGATCAACCAGGCTGTGACTCATACGTCAGGCTGCGAGCAGCCGCGTCCAACAGCCTGGTTGATCAGTCCAGCAAGCAGGAGGCCTGGTCGACGACCGGGCCGCGGGGACGCTAAGCCCCTGAAGCACCTCAAGGTAACCTCAAGGTAGGCATGAGAGTGAGTGTGTTAAGAACTGCCTGAGATTGAGAGATACGCCTGAAAACTTGAAAATTAAGCGAAAGTATACTTCAAGAACAAATTAGCCAAGTTCTTGCAAGAAGTACCGGACCAACCAGGCTGTAGTGGATATGCGAGCCTGCGAGCAGCTCCAAGCAACAGCCAGCCTGTTGGACCAAGTTACCACAAGTCGACCTTGACCACAATGATAGGCTCGAGGCGGTAGAACAACTCCAGAGACCCTCTACGGGTAAAGCTCCAAATAAACGCGTATACCATAAACATTTTAGTCTAGTTATACACTATAATTCCCATAAACCAACACCTCTCTTTGGGGAGCCGAGCGGACAGTACGCGGGACTTGTGATCCTGTGGTCCTGGGTTCGATCCCAGGCGCCGGCGAGAAACAATGGGCAGAGTTTCTTTCACCCTATGCCCCTGTTACCTAGCAGTAAAATAGATACCCGAGTGTTAGTCAGCTGTCACGGGCTGCTTCCTGGGGGTGGAGGCCTGGTCGAGGACCGGGCCGCGGGGACACTAAAAGCCCCGAAATCATCTCAAGATAACCTCAAGATAACCCCGCAAGGTGAGGAGTGAGTCCCATGTTTACATTCCACTCTCCTAAGCATTACCCATCACCTCACAAGTGCATCATCAATATTGACCTTTTTCTTCTAAATATAACATTGCTTACACTTCAATTTAAGAATAACAAATTGACATTGTTTACAAAAAATGTTTTATCACGAGAGACCTATTTTGTCCATTAGTCATTCTTGACAACAACTGTTTAGGTGCCTGTGGAGGGTTTCCAAGAGTGGTATAAGTTTCAGGAGGTTTGCAAG